ATAAGTAAGTGCTTCTGTATTGTAATTAGAGGCATACTTCAGAAGTCTAAACTCCTATATATACTAGCAAGCCTTGTGGTTACCAACCGTTATAAGTGAAGTTGTATCTTTGTCCCAAATCTTGTTCTTGGAATTCATACTTACTTAAGTTAGATCTAGTGTTAAGTTCACAGCTTTTTTATCTTTCATTTTTTTAAGTGATTCTAGATTCATAAAATAATATTGTAAAAAAGAGCCGCAGGGTCCGGGAAGGGCCACACACCACGGGGTGTGATATAGACAGCTTACCCTGATACAAGCATTAATAGCTATTTCCACAGCTCAAACCCAGCCTACCATAAAACAATATTGTGAAAAGCACAAATTATCTCTGCTTAGAAATATCATGAAACAATAAAACTTAGAAACTTTACTTGCTCTTGAGAGTGAAATATTTCTGATAGAACTTCTTTAATCCTTTTTTTCCAGTGGTTTCAAGTATTCACTCCATTAGCACCATGATGAAGTGTATAGCGGTGAGATCTCGTGGCTCACATTTTCATTTGATACAATTTTTTGGGGGTAATAAAGTGAAATTATTGAACTATATCAAAATGAATTTTGATGTTTTGCAGCTTGGTGCAGTTGAGTTCCTTCAGAAACCATTATCAGATGATAAACTAAGAAATATATGGCAGCATGTAGTTCACAAGGTTCTTCCTAAACTTCATTCAGACTGTTGAGCTTATTATATGTGGAGGAAAATCTGACTTTTATTAGCTGGAACAGGCATTTAATTCTGGAGGAAAGAATGTCTCTGAGTCGCTTAAGCCGGTCAAAGAATCTCTTTTGTCCATGCTAGAGCTCCAACCAGTTAAGAGTGAAGCAGATAATGAAAATTCTAATGGAGTTTTGACCACAGTGGTGGAAAACCAAAAAGAATTACCACCATACTGTGATAAATATCCAGCTCCTTCAACTCCACAACAGAAACAAGGAGTAAGGTCAGTGGACGATGGCGATTTCCAAGATCATACTATCTTGTCAACTGAACAAGATAGTGGGGTGAATGAAGGGGACACAAAATCTGTTGAAACTACTTGTTGCGATTCTGTTGCTGAGACTACTGTCCTGGCGGATTCTCCAGGGCGACTAGGAGAGGCTATCACAAAAGAGGAGCATGATTTTGCTGCTGATCAGAAGATGGAGGATCACATTGCTACTTGTTCACAAAATAATGACTGCCCGGGCAATAGCAGTACTCATTCTGCTGACTCTAGTAAAGCATCTGGTCTCCATAGATCAAGTGGGACGAAAGCTAATAAGAAGAAGATGAAGGTAAGATGGAACAAGTGCTGACTAACTCTATGACTGACAATAGTAGTAATAATGTATTGGGTGACCTTGACTGCTAGTAACAACAACAACAACGACAAACCCAGTGAAATCTCACAAGTGGAGTCTGGGGAGAGTAGTGTGTACGCAGACTTTACCCTTACCTTAAGAAGGTAGAGAGTCTTTTTTAAGGTAGACCCTGACGCAAGATGACCTTGACTGCTAGTGTTAAGCAATAAACAGAATTTGATATTTTGCAATCAGAATAGGGTCCAAGTAAAGTTTAGCTTGTGCTTTTTTAGCATTATGTAGTTAACTAGAATCCTGGTTTATTTTGGATCAGTTGTTTTCGGGAGTAAGCTTTTGTCTCTCCTTTGGATCCAGGTAGACTGGACACCTGAACTACACAAGAAATTTGTTAAAGCAGTAGAGCAACTCGGTATAGATCAAGCCATTCCTTCTCGAATACTGGAGCTGATGAAAGTAGAAGGTTTGACGAGACATAATGTAGCTAGCCATCTCCAGGTTGGCTGAGTTCTGTTCTTTGATAATTTAATACTAGTATCTTTTTCTTTTAAATCAAGCTTTTCAATGCGTGAAAATGAATGCAAAAGCAAGCGTTGCCTGCTGGATAGAAGGGAGCAGATACATAACCTCATAATGCAATAAATTTAATAAGGAGCAAAAAGAAGTCCTAACTTGACTAAACCATGGTCCGTTTGGTAGGATGAGAAACATGCTGAAAATTTATTTCACCAAAAATGTTCTGATTTGGGCATGGAAACATCAGTAAACATCGTCATATCCAGTCTGTTTTGCCCGTCAAGTCAAGTATTTTGGAGTCATCTTAAACAGTTTTTACGGATATTTTGTTCAGCTCAAGAACAGTATCGCCTTTTGAATTCCATGCAGAAATTTAGAATGCAACGGAGGCAAATTTTGCCAAAGGAAGATGAGAAAAGATGGCCTCGTCCTCAACCTAGAGATTCAGTACAGAGGAGCTACTATCCACATAAAGCTGTCATGGCCTTCCCAACATATCATTCAAATCATGCACCCGCTTCTGGTCAATTCTATCCTGCCTGGGTACCACCAGGTAACTACCCAAATGGTGCACATATGTGGGGTTCGCCTTACTATCCTGGATGGCGACCGTCTGAGACTTGGCACCGGACGCCTCATCCAGGGGTAATTTTTCCATCCCTAACTAAATTATTTCTGTTTAGCTGAAAGTAAGTGTTTTACTGAATTCGGAGTTCAAAGAACTAAAAAAATCTGTTATTTGATGATCTGCAGCTATGTGCTGATGTATGGGGTTGCCCTGTTACGCCTCCATCTTTCGGATCATGTCCACCGTATCCTCAGGTAAATGCGTAGGTGCTACTATCTTCTTTGAATGTTTGTGTTCAATTCAGCAGTATAAACTGGCTGTTCTATGTGAGTGACCACTTGGACTATGTTCATAAATCATAACTCTGCACCATTGGTTGGAATTTGCAGAATGCATCTGGATTACACAGGGCTGCGGGAATACAGAATAGATATAGCATACTAGAGAAATCACTTGATCTTCAGCCGGTAAGTTTGGCCAGTTACTATAGTCAGGGTTTTATATATTCTCTAGATTTAAATTTCGGATATTGGGAGTTCTCTATTGTTAGTATACAAGGAGAAACTTGCACTTGCGAAATACTGTATATGTTTTCCACTTTTGCAATTAGAGAACAAAAATCAATAAACAAATATATTTCAGTTTAGCCTTGTGAGTTCTCTTGCTAGTAGTGCTTGCTGAACAAAGGAATGCAATGAACAAGAGGTTTTAGGTTCATATGCATTGTCGCTCTTCTTTTCTATTCCCAATAAAGCAAGAAGAAAAACAAAAAAACCTAGTATCCGCATTGAGCGGATAATATATAATTTTAAATATAAATACTCTTACCAAAATTTCTGACTTCGAATTAGGAAGAGAGTTGAGTACTTTGCGCGAATTATTCTACAAACTCACAAAAATGTTTGACGTACTAGTACTAAATATTTTAACACATTCATAATGAATTCACGTACCATGGATGGTGTTTGTTATAAAAATTTCTCTGAAATGCTATGTTGGGGTTTTGCAGGCCGAGGAGGTGATAGATAAGGTAGTGAAGGAGGCAATAAACAAGCCATGGTTGCCTCTCCCCTTAGGCCTAAAACCTCCTTCCACAGAGAGTGTTCTCGACGCGCTCTCCAAACAAGGCATCTCCACCGTCCCTCCACGCATCACTGGCTCTCTCCGCCCCCATTGACATGGTTATTGCCACGCAACGGAGGCGCGTAGTTACAAGCTCCAATCAGACAAACCAAGCGCGTGGCGCTGACTAGACCTGACAGAAAGATCATTTTACTGATCCGATAAAGGACTTTGCTCGTGTGCTGTTTCCTTTTTTTGTTGTGCGGCACAGAATGGGCCACGTTTATGGCTTTGATTAGGCACGAGAAATGTTAGAAATTCTTGTAAATAGTAGATCCCAAAAAGTAGCGTCATCTTTGTAGCCAAATTCGGGATATTGGGCTGTTGAGTGGGCCATGTCGATTGCCGTTGGAATAATGGATTGGGTTAATCTTTGGGATTAAACTTTTCAATAATCTTTAATACTCCGTAATAATAAAAAAAGAACATCAAATGCGAATTTGGACAACATTTATCCATCACACGTAAATACTTTTATGATGATGGGAACAGTATAAAGACTAACTACTTTAGGGAGACTAAGGTATTTTTCTTGATATTCATGATTAGTAGTTGTAGCTCTCAATTTTCTTAGCAAACAAACAAGGAACGCTTCTTTTTTAAATTTCTTTTCTTTAACAAGAAAAACTTCTTAGTATACAGATGCTGTCCAAATAATTTACATAACATTCAGTCATTCACAATAATCTGCCGGCGAGTGATAGCTCTCAATTTTATATCAAAACTTATTAAGTTTGATTGTCCAAATAGTTTCTCACTAAAGGGTAAGTGTTTTTAGCATTCATAATAATTTGCTGCCGAGTGATAGCCAAGCATTTGTTTGAAAACGTCATGAGTCGTGGTCAGTCCACTATGTACTCCTACCAAATTATTAACAAATTCTGTTGTTGTGGAGTACAAGAACATTTGGCCCAGGACGCAAGACTTTGACACTATGTGGTTGGAGTTATTCAACAATCGAATGTTTCTTCAGTTTTAAACTGTCACTACGTGACCCTATTTGATCGGGCACGAAATTTAAGAAAAAGATAAAATTTTGAAATTTGTGATTTAAACATTGTCATAATATTCTTGTGGCCAAAAGAACTTGTTCTTAAGAGACAGTTTCAGTTGTTTTTTCAGTAAACTAAAATGGAGAGAGTAACAGATTTTCGCCCAATTTTTTTGACCCTCCAAAAACCTGTATTGACCTACCTATAGAGCCCTATTGCTTCATCTATATGGTTAAGTGTGTGCGTCTGCAAAGAAATACAAGTGTGAAAATACTATAGAAGATTTGTTCACTCTGTTGGCAGCTACAAAGCCATTCCCTTATCCAAAGGTTAGAGAAACAACAACAACCCAGTATAGTCCCACAAGTGGGGTCTGGGGAGGGTAGTGTGTATGCAGACCTTACCTCTACCCCGATGGGGTAGAGAGGATGTTTCCGATAGACCCTCGGTTCAAGAAGACGAAAAGACAAAAAGAAAAAATATATAAGTACCAACATGGAAATAATAACAACACAAGAACCAGTAAATAGATGAAAGGCAGAAATAATGACCAGTAAATAATGCCCGGCACTATGCAAACGGATGAGTAGCCAAAGGGTAGAGAAAGTAGAAGGAATTTCATGCAAGTGGAAGATCCAGTGAAATAAGGGAGAAAGATTCTGAAAAAAAAAAGTTGCATGAACAAGCTAAACACGCGAGTTAGTCAGCGTAAATGAGGGGTTGTACTCCTACCTACTGGAAAATGCTACTCACAGAAGAATCATCATGCACGCGCCAAATTGTTTCACCAAGAAGGTTTGCAACTGAAAGAACAGTCAGCTGTGGGAAATAGTTTTTGTCCATCACTGGAATTGTGTTTGTAGTGATAACCTCTTGAAATAGGCCACTCGACAACCTTTCAACTGCTGGGGGGCTGTCATCACAAAATAAGCAACAGTTGATTAATAAAGGCAACAGCAAGCGATATGCATTATGACTAAATTACTAACCAGTCTAAAGAATTTATCAGAAATGTTGAAAGCCAGAGAAAGAGAGCAATAGCATTTGTATGCAGTAGACACAAAAGCGCCATCATAAGTCTAGTCTTGACATCAATGTTGTACAAGTCTAACACAAGATAGACCTCCCATAATGTCCAATTCACCTAAATTTGCTTTGAACGATATGGATGATGTTCAAGAGAAGATATTTACATGATGGTTTGAACTTACTCCCATATGGGATTCTCTACATCTAGTAATCATTTATCTAATCTTCAAAACTACAAAAGACTACTACACCAGTTTTTCTCTTGTATTAGGTAATGCTAAATAATCTCGCACCAATTATCAGTTCTAACTCCACAACACTTGGACGGAAGATTAATATGTCAGTTTGAAAAAGTATGGTGATTCCATATTTGCACAGGGATCAACCATGCTCCCATTCCATAATTACTGTTGCAATAAAACCGGAATTTAACCATGATTCATGGACAACCAAAAGGATAGAACAATTTTCACACAGCAACTGTCATGTTTCATGTTAAAACATCATATACAATCACGTGCGTAAAAATGGATCCATATTTACCAAAACGACAACGCTGCTGAAAGCTTACTCCAAAATATATCTAAGATTTTTACATATTTGTACAAAAGCAAAGTAACGTTACCTAAAAACAGCATGTGAACAGCATGCATAAACTTCCCTTGCTCCCACATCATGCAGAAGTTCTGCACCTTTGGCAATAGTCCCTAAGAGCAAGAGCAACAGAAACATAAGGAAATTTATGTAAAAACTGCGGTGGAAGTTCTTGTTGAGACACTTCACAATCTTAAGAGTGACGATAATAGAAGGTAACATATTTCCACGCAACGAATAAAGAAGGACGCTCAAATCACTACAGTTGACATTAACATCTCTTCGAAAAGGTAGAAGAGAAAATCAGGACCAGTTAGTGGCTAGCCAGAGTGTCCGATATATGTAATCTAGCCCACCTGCTGTGTCAATCATGTCATCCAACATGACTGCAACTTTTCCTTTAACATCACCAATCAGGTTCATAACCTGTAAGCAACAAAAAGACATGGAGTCAAGGACACAATAGGATGCATGAAAAGCAACCAAAAAAATGAAACTGATCCTAGAACTTAAACATGTTCATCGCATTTTATTGCTTTGTCTAGTACTATGAAAACTCTTCGACTCATGTTCTTTGTATTCATAGACTATGAAGCATGGGTGCTACTGGCTTCTGCCTATTTATGTGGATAGTTATTTCTTATTTTAGAAGGTGAAAGTGGTAAAACATAAATAAAAATTTGGTAGATGATTCACACGCATGAGAGCAAACGATACATGAAAATATAGAACCAAATAGAGGTGGAAGGTATAGAACCATTGTAGACAAATGCAGACAACAACTAAAAGACCACTATACGATAATTATTTGATGTTTTAATCTCATTAAGTATTTGGCTTAGATCAGGTATACTGCCAGAGATCACTGCGGCAGCAGTCCTTACATCACACAATTTATTCTGTGAAGATTTTGTTTAGTTTCTTTACATACATGAGATGAACCCAAGTTAGATATACACAAGGATAAACATAATTAAGACGAAAGATTTCTTTCAATAGATGGGAAACAATCACTTGAAGTTTAAAGATTATATTGCTCAACTACATGAAATACTTTAGGGAAGAAACTTTATTGCAGCCACTATCGAATTACCAGTCATAAAGATCTTTTACAGAGCATTTACCATGGGACCCAAACTCAATGGCAAGGGAGGGCCCCCAAAAGATCAGCGGGGAGCTTTTCTACCTTCCTTTACTCCCTAAAAAAGTGGAAAAAGAACAGAATTAGGAGTGAAAGGGCTTCAAGAACTCAGGAATTCCACCCAAAAGAAACTTGCTTGGCTTGTCCATAACTTGGCTAGGTCGATACCGGGGACTAAAGTATGATATAGTGGTGGAGCTACATCCCCACATGTTTTTTTAAAAGGTAAGTATTTTAATTGATAGCATCCAGAGGATGCAACACAAAATGCAATTAAGATTAGCTCCAGTGCATATTAGTTGAATTTGTGCAAATTGCACCAGCAAAAGAGGTTAGTCAAACACCTAGCTTTCAGAGAGTGGTTGCGAGTTAGAAATCCATCAAAACACCTGCGATTTCTTTATATCCAGATGCACCACAAAAATACAGGCAGGAAACATTAGCCAGATTTTCTTCACTGGCTTTCTAACTCTCCAAAGACCCCAGCTTGTATAGGCATCTCTAACAAGTGTAAGACCAACACTTTGGTCTCAAGCCAAATCAGACTTGAAAAGGTTTTGTCTCACCTATTTTCTTTTCCCATACTTACCTGGAAAAGGAATACCAAGCACACTGATGTAACTGAGATACATCTACCTCATATATTTATTAACTTAAGAAACCGAATGCCACAGGAGATAAAAACTGTATTAAGTGTGAAATCGCAAACTCCAGCTCTGAAAATACCTCAGCAAGATTGTGGCCCTGGCGTCTTTTATCGACAATGGCTAAAGGTGCATCAGACAACTTTTTTGCAAATGCACGTGCTCTAGCAACTCCTCCAACATCAGGAGAGACCACAACCAGATCATTGGAAGAAATCTTCTTGCTAGCAAGGTAATCGAGGATAACAGGCTAGCTTGAACAAAAAAGGCAAATTGCCTATCAGCTAAATAAATTTGCAGTTCTTAATGATACTGACATACTGAAAGATTACCTGACAGTGCACGTGGTCCACTGGAATGTCAAAATAGCCCATGGATTGCCCAGAGTGAAGATCACAAGCAAGAACACGATCTGCACCTCCTTTCGTTATCATATTTGCAACCAATTTGGCAGCAATGGATTGACGACCTTGTGTCTGAAGCCATATAAAATATGGTAAATAAAAACCTACTTAAAATGTCCCTTTTGTTAATTATTTATTTATGTCAAAGACCAGAAGATGTAAACATTGATTTCTTTTCTTTTCAACAAGTGATAACTCCTTGGAGTCAAAAAATATGAAAACTAAATACACCAAACATAAAAGCTGCACACAAAGAAACTTGCCTTCCTATCGGCTCTGGCATATCCAAAATATGGAATCACCGCGGTGATTCTTTTGGCTGAAGCCCTTCGGCATGCATCTACCATCACCAAAAGCTCCATGAGGTTTTCATTGGCTGGAGGGCAAGTCGGCTGAATCAAGAAAACATCACAGCCTCGAACACTCTCCTGCAACTGGACATAAATTTCACCATCAGCAAAGCGCTTGATGTTGATCTTTCCCAGTTCAAGCCCCATGTTCCAAGCAGTTTCCTAAGCGACAAAAAAAAGACTGCATCAGCTGAGAAAAGAAGTATGGCGTAAAAGTTGAAAGTATTTAAATGGATTTCAGAGCTCGAATAACAATTCATGCAGCAACTGGGCATTTTAGACATAGATAAGGATGGTGGCAACCTTGGGAAAAAGAAAAACGAAGAAATACTACTCAATTATCCTTGTTTTTTGTCATCCATCATCCTTTTTCACTGGCCTTCCTGTTTACTTTTTATATTTTCAATTTTCATCACCTTGATATATAGGAGTCCGGAAAATTAAGACCAGAAAGAAGAGAGGGGAGGGGGCTGTTTGCGCTAATCCTTAACATTATTAAGCTGAAACTAAAATGCATTTCTACTCCACTTCGCATACAATCTTTACAAGACTGGCAATTGAGTATTAAATATATCAGTTAATTAAAAAGAATTTACTTCATGAGGAAAGAGAAATTGAAGCAACAGTGTCCACCCTGAAACATACACCTAACACCATCTTCTGTAATAACAAACTATATCCACGTAGGCACAATGGAATAAGCTCAAGGGAAAGAAAAATATACAGTTTCAGGGAGTCCTCCACGATTTGGTTACCATTTCCTCGTGTGACAAGTCCAAATTATGTGTATTTGGTTGACACATTAGATGATGACAAACTTAAGCTACTAAGACCTCATATATCCCCCACCACTATACCCACCCCACACACACGAAAAAAGAAAAGAAGGAGAAACAACAAAGTCTGCAAATAACTTACTCCAAATGTTCCAATGTATAAGACACTCTTTCCATATAGGAAGCTCCAAAATGTTTAGCATTCTATTTCTATACCACTTTTCAGAATTTAAATTGGTCTTAGATGAGCTTATTAAGTGGCGCGACATGGTCACTGATAATTCATATAACCGATCCGAACATGAGTTTGGAATTGACGTGTAGCTTTTTCCAGGATTCAAATTCATAAGACTATTCACACTTAATTGTAAGAAAGTTGTCTTGAAAGACCTACTATTTCTTGGAATCCATGCAGAATTAGCTAAAGATAGGGGGGAACAATGAAAGAAAAAGCTCTATATAGGTGTATATCAACTAGTTGGGAATAAGTTTGTCATGTTAGCACGTTTATATAGCTCTGATGCTTAATTTACTAGGAGAATCTTAACCTTTTAAATATATATATGTTACTTTTACTTCTATTTGGTATGATTATGGATGATATGAGTTTAAATGGAGAAACATGGTCAGTGAGGATTCAGACAGCAACTTGATTGGTACTGAGGCGTAATAATTGTTGTTATATTCACATTTTAACTTTGATGTGATGTTTCCCTCTTTTTCGACCACATATATGTGAAGTTAACTTCTTAAACATCATGCCCAGTCAAACAATGCCACAGAAAATGAAACTGAGCGAGTTTATACTTCCACCCTTGTCCTTACGAAGCTCCATCATCAAAGCACATGATAATATGTAACTATTCGGGTGGGGAAGAGGTTGGGATACTACTTGATATAAGTCACCATATCAACTTAGAATCTTGGAAAATATTGAATGTAAATGCTAACCTTTCATTGTTAAAAAATTTACAGAGAACATTTAAGAGTATCCCAGTGTCATTCAAGAGAATCGGGATAATGTTACACAAAAGTAAAGTGGGAGATCACTAACGGTAGACAGAAAGGCCTTATAGTGACATCAAAGACAATGTTAGTATATGACATTACTGATAACTAGGCATCCCCCAAGTCCCTCATATATAGAATTATTTACCTGAGAAAGTGAAGGATTTGCAGTTCCGGAAAATATCTTCAGCTTGGTGTTGTTACTTGTAACTGCATTCTGTAAGCGTTTGGCTTGCAAGAATGCTGGAAGTGTCTCATCATTAATGATTGGAATAATAGGCTTCTCATCCACTGGTTTATTGATTTCACAATTCTAAGACAAAAAAAAGGACAAGCATTAATAAAACAAACAAGTTTAGTTTGCCTAAGCTCCAAAGACTTTGAACCAACCAAATAGGACATTTGACAAAGTGAAGAAAAAGAAAGTCTTTTTGCCTTCAAAGAGATAGATCTCTTGTCTCTTATTCCAAACAGGGAGTAACTATAAGCAATTCAGTAAAAGCTTTTATTCCAAGAATGGCAGTAATCAGAGTACAAAAGCATAACAAACTAATCATTAATATATCATAGTAATCTTTTAGAGATATTTGTAGGTGCTTTAAAAGTTAATATAAGGTACACTAAATCACAGTTTTTTTAATGCAAATACTTTCTATGCAAGAAAAAAGTTGTTGGAGTCTTCAAGTAGTGATAGTATGACGCTTTTAGGAAAGAATGAGTAAAGTAGAGAAGCATAATTAATACTAATAAAAATAGAGGGTGGTGGAAAACTAGAAATTACATGTACACATCCTAATCATTTGTCATAACTTATAAACAATAACCAAACAAGAAACTGTGAGAAAAAAGATTGATTTCATTACATCTCCTCCATCCAAAAGATCAATAACCAAATTAGTTTAACTGAAAGTGGTGAGGAAATTCTGCCTCAAGTCAATGACTGACTGATGAATAGCGACATAGGAGTAGTACATATATATGACTTAATTGTACCCCTGACAAACAAATGAGAGAAGCAAATACAAAAAGGAGGAAGGTAATTAATTAGTACTTACTACGTAGCTGGGAAGGCGGGTTCGTTTGGGAAAGAAGGCTGAGTATCTGAGAGAGGAGCAAGAAGAAGAGAAGAGACAAGTAGAGGATGAAGAAGAGAGGGAAGTTGAATAAGACGATGGCAAAGTCAAAGAAGCCATCAAAACCAGAAACGGATTGGCAGTTGAGAGTTGAGGAAGAAATTAAAGAGGTCGAGGCGCCGAGTTTTTGCTTCTAGTATTAGTGTGGGGCTGCTTTTGTTGTCAGATGATTTTGTCTCCTAGGTTTGACAGTGACAAACAGGCAACCCGCAACTGCCTATATAGCACCACTTCACGTGTTGCTTTCTTTCTTTTAACAAATATAATAATAATAATAATAACGTGTTTTTGTCCTTTTATTTTCCACTAAGTATTACTTCTCCGTGCCATGTGAATCTATTCGACTGAGCACGGAGTTTAAGAAAAAATAAAGATTTTTATAATTTGTGATTCTAAACAAATCAAAAAGGGGCCTAGAGTATTTGTGTAGTTATAAAAACTTCTCATTAAGGGTAGAATTGTAAGTTTAAGCTAAATTATTTTCAAATTTAAAAATGGATCATTCTTTTTGGAACGAACCAAAAAAGAAATAGGTTCACATAAACTGAAACGAAGGAGTACGTATTGGTTCACTCTACTATTTTGGGGAATATTTGGAACAAAAGTTCAATTGGGTGATCACAATTCCAAATGTTCCCCAATAAGGGCTTTTGGCTTGCAATTTGTGGTAAAAACCTATTTGTCAAAAACATACACATTGCAAATAACTTAGTGGGCGTTTGGACATAAAAATTGTGAAATTTGGGGGAAAAAATTAAGTTGAAAATGGTATTTAAAAATTAGAGTTGTGTTTGAATATGAATACAATTTGGAGCTATTTTTGAGTTTTTATGAGTGCTTTGAAGTGAAAATTTTGGAAAATATCATTTTGGAGTTTTTCAAATTCCGAAAAAAATTTAAAATTCAACTTTTAAGTGAAATTTGAAATTTTCATGGTCAAACAATAATTTCGAACAAAGAGTAAAACAAAATTCGAAAAAAATGAATCTTTTATTATGGCCAAACGGGCCCTTAATTACTGTTTTGAAATCTCCGTATTTTTTTAAAATTATTGTCACAACCAGATTTTTCCACCATCGGGATCGTGATGGCGCCTAACCAAAAGATTGCTAGGCAAGCCAACATGTAAAAATTAATATACGCTACTTCTTTAAAAAATTCACTAAATGACAATAATTTTAAACATACGATCTAATAAAATGCGGAAGTTTATAACAGTCTAAACACCAATACACGGCTACCCAAAATCTAGTGTCACCATCCACGAACTTCTAAGAGTTACTACAAATAGTGGTTTAAAGGAAATACATATGTTCTCGAAATACAAGAAAACATGGAAGATAAGATACATGGAAGGGGACTCCAGGGTCTACGAACGCCAGCAGATCTACCTTGGGTCTCCTGATGGACTGAAGGCAGCAACCCAACTCTGATCAACAAGGTTCGGTACCGAAATCTGAACAGAAAGTGCAGAGTGCAGTATCAGTACAACCGATCTCATGTGTTGGTAAGTGCGGAGCCTAATCTCGGTGAAGTAGTAACGAGGCTAGGACACAACAATAACATGAACATGTGTAGTTAAATCATATACGAGAAAATAATAACAAACGAAAATGTAACAGATAATACGGGAAGGGGGGGAAAACATGCTGAGGGGAATATCAAATCCTAACAATTGCACAGTAAAGGAACGCAGTAAATATCATGCTTTGCACTAACAAAAGTAATAACATAGCAACAAGTACACGACATCACCCTTCGTGCTTTTACTCTCATTCTCACCACAAGAAACAGTAGAAACGACACGGCATCACCCTTCGTGCATTAAGTCTCTCATAGCATGGTACGACATCACCCGTCGTGCATTATCACTCACGGAGTACGGCACGGTATCACCCTTCGTGCTTTACACTCTTCCTCACCCAAACAACAGAACAATATCAACACGGCAAGGGAATTGTCAATAACTAACCCCATTTTAATATTTCACTTCACAACATAAATCTCAACTTTAGTCAATACTCAAGCAATATCAATTTCAGGAAAAACATGATAAGATTTGTTTAACATGAAGAATAACCAATCTAAGCATGATCCGTACGAACAAAGAATACAATAGTACCAAGTATAAGACTCACTCGCATGCTACGACCCAACAGCAACGTATAGATACTCATCACTTCACCTATACGTCGTACTCAATAATCAAACACATAACAAATAAGGCAACAATACCTAATCCTTCAAGCTAAGGTTAGCCACAACACTTACCTCGATTTCACGGCCGATCTCAAAGCTCAATCACAGCTTTTCCTTTCACACAAGCCTCTAGGCCAATAGAATCTAGCAAATTACCAACCAAACGATTCAATTTAAGCCTCAGGAACTACCCACGATAGCGAGGAATTCAATTTAGGTCATTTTTTAAAAAGTCAACACCCGGGCCCGCTTGGTCCAAACCCGAAATTCGAACCAAAACCTAATTACCCATTCACCCTCGAGCCCGGATATACAATTGGTTTTGGAATCCGACCTCAATTTGAGGTCTACATCCCCAAATTTCAAAATTTCTATGTTCTACCACTCGTCACTTCACCTATATGTCGTACTCAATAATCAAACACATAGCAAATAAGGCAATAATACCTAATCCCTCAAGCTAAGGTTATCCACAACACTTACCTCGATTTCATGGCCGATCTCAAAGCTCAATCACAGGTTTTCCTTTCACACAAGCCTCCGGACCAATAGAATCTAGCAAATTACCAACCAAACGATTCAATTTAAGCTTTAGGAACTACCCACGATAGCGGAGAATTCAATTTAGGTCATTTTTTAAAAAGTCAACAAAAGTCAACATCCAGGCCCGCTTGGTCCAAACCCGAAATTCGAACCAAAACCTAATTACCCATTCACCCCCGAGCCCGGATATACAATTGGTTTTGGAATCCGACCTCAATTTGAGGTCTACATCCCCAAATTTCAAAATTTCTATGTTCTACCCAAAAAATTCCCAATCCCACCATGAAAATCCTAGATTCTAAGATGAAATCTTGTAAAAAAAAGTAAAAGAGTGAAAGAAATGAGTTAAGAATCACTGACTTATGATTTGGGGAGGAAAAAGTATTTGAAAAATCGCCTCTTATGTTTTAGGGGTTTGAAAAAGTGAAAAATAGATGAAAAGTCTCATTTATATTGCACCCCCGGATCCTCACTCCGCGGTCGCTAAATCCCGAGCGCGGGTACAAACCTTCACCGCGGTCCGCAAAATTATGGGCGCGTCCGCGAAACTGAGCCTTGCCCTACCGCGTCCGCAAAGCCCTCCACCGCGACCGCGTTCTTCAACCTGCGGTTCGCGAATTTCACTCCGCGGCCGCACTGCTAAGAGCTGAGACCTGCAATCTCTGCAACTATCCAACACCAGGTCTTTTCCTAAGTCTAGTTATCTCGTAGCCTATCCGAAACTCATCCGAGCCCTCGGGGCTCTAAACCAAATACGCACATAAGTCTTAACACATCATATGAACTTGTTCGGGCAATCGAATAGCCAAAATAACACCTAGAACTATAACTTTAGCACCAAAACACATGAAATCCTTAAGAACATTTGAAATTCCTAGTTTTTCACAGTCGGACGTCCGAATCACGTCAAATCAGTCCGTTTCTCACCAAATTTCACAGACATGACTTAAATATTATATTAAACTTGTACCGGGCTTCGGAACCAAAATATTATAAATATAAATAACTGTTTAGTTTATATTGCAGCACTTGTAGATTTATTTACTCAATTTTCAGAAGATGGAGTAATTTATCAAGAAGCTATTAATTCTATGAAAGCTAAGTTTAAAAAATATGTTTTCCCTATCCTCCCTATTTTTGGTGTTGCTGCATTGTTAAATCCTACAATGAAATTAGGAGGTCCTCACTTTTGGTATTCAAAAATTTATAACGCTTTATCACTTTCAGCTGAGGAATTTGCTACACTTGGAGATGCAAAAGCCTCAATTAAAATAAATGCTCAAACTATTTATAATGCTTATCAACTTGCCTTAGATCAAGCTAGACCAAATGTTCCAACTCCTACTTCGTCTAGTTCGCAAGCATCTAAAAGAACTACGGGACTAAAAATCCTTAGTTCTTGGACGGAGTTCAGGGGTTCTCAAGGTGATAATTTTGGTGATAGTTCACAACTAAATGAGCTTCAAGTTTATTTGTCGCAGGGACTTGAATCAGAGAATCCCGACGGCTCCTTCGATGTTTTGGAATGGTGGAAGGACAAACAAAAACACTATCCGGTTCTTTCAAGGATGACTCGAGATATTTTAGGTGTTCAAGCTTCAACAGTGGCATCGGAGAGCGCATTCAGTCAAGCGAGACTTCAAATCGGTGATCATAGAGCGTCTATGAGGGAGAGCTTGGAAAAATCAGTACTCTTCAGAGATTGGATCCTTTCGGAAAGAAGAAATTTTGGACTTGCAGAATCACAACCGGAGATAGATGACGCTTATGAAGAAATGCTAGCGGAACTTGCGCAAGATGCTGCTTCGCCCGGAAGCGGTGATGAACAAGCTTCTTTTCCACCACCACCAACG